GATCAAGTGGATGATGTGGCAGACGCAGTGATAAAAGATGCGGAGGAGTGGAGCGACGATAGTGATGAGTGGTGGCTAGCAGGCCACTATGACGGGGAGGAAGTGGAGGTGTGGGTGGCAGGTCAGGATGAATAAATGGGGTTGTGTTTCCATCCCCACTGTGCTAATTTGGTCTTGAACATGTCATGCTTGAATGTGTGTGGAGGACTATGCCGTTCTGTCCTAAACCTAATCATGCTTCTTTGCGAAATAAACTTGCACATATTATAGTTGCAATATACGTTACACGTGCGGATGAAGTTAGCCCGGTGAAACTACTCCATTGCTTCGATTCTTGAGACCCTAATCCAGCTCATGTTCCATTCTGCCTAGGGCACTAGCTTGTTTGGTATCCCAAAAAGGATACATCCATGATGATGTGTAACAGTTATCTTACTCCAAAGGTGTCAGTGCCCAGCTCTGTTGGCACTTTATTGCAAATTATTGCCGAGGTAACCACTTGGCATCCAATGTACACTACTTCAGGATGGCTTATACTTGCGTTTCACAAGGACCTCGTTCACAATGCGCAGTGAAGTGAGCCACAGTACTGGAATCGACACATCAGTTAGCCTGCAAACACATGGCAGATGCATGGGTGGGATAGAAGGCGCACGACTTGAGGGCTCAAAATTTTACCGGTAGTAGCTCAGAGTAGGAGCAGACGAACCAGTGGCAGCTATAGGATCTCTGGAGGGACTTGCTGCTGCTCTTGAAGCAGAAAAGCAGGAGTGCAAGGGCTGACAGCAGCGGTGCAAGGGCTGACAGCAGGGGTGCAAGGGCTGACAGCAGGGGTGCAAGGGTGGAAAGCAGGGGTGCAAGGGTGGAAAGCAGGGGTGCAAGGGGGAGAAGCAGGGGTGCAAGGGTGGGAAGCTGGGGTGCAAGGGTGGGAAGCAGGGGTGCAAGGGCGGAAAGCAGGGGTGCAAGCGTGGGAAGCAGTGCATAGGTGGAAAGCGGGACCAGACGAAACAGTGACAATTTGAATTCACATTAGCGGTGGGTATTTCAGGAGTGGGTGATATGAAGGGAGTGGGAAGTTTGGAACGAGGGTGTAGGGATATGAGAGAAGCAGGGGGTATGAGGGGACTGTGGGGTATGAGAGGAGTTGGGCGTACGAGGGGAGTGCGGGGTATGAGAGGAATGGGGAGTATGAGAGGAGTGGGGGGAGTCCACTGTATGGAATGAGTGGGGGGTATGAGAGGAGTGGGGAGTATGAAAGGAGTGGGGGGTATGAGAGGAGTGGGGAGTATGAAAGGAGTGGGGGGTATGAGAGGAGTGGGGAGTATGAAAGGAGTGGGGGGTATGTTGCAGCATGCCGCTGGTCACTGAGATTGCACACAAGTCAGTGAGATTGCACACAAGTTAGTGAGATTGCACACAAGTCTGCTGCGCTGCCCCCCTGTTGCGCGTGCGTCCCCCCTTTTCTTTGCGATTGTACATGGGGAGGGAGAGGATGGGGGGGGAAGCAGGGAAGGGGATGGGGGGAAGCAGGGAAGGGGATGGGGGGAAGCGGGGAAGGGGATGGGGGGAAGCAGGGAAGGGGATGGGGGGAAGCAGGGAAGGTGATGGGGGGAAGCAGGGAAGGGGATTGGGGGGAAGCAGGGAAGGGGATGGGGGGAAACAGGGAAGGGGATTGGGGGAAACAGGGAAGGGGATGGGGGGAAAGTAGGGAAGGGGATGGGGGGAAGCAGGGCAGGGGATGGGGGGAAGCAGGGAAGGGGATGGGGGAAAGCAGGGAGGGGGATGGGGGGAAGCAGGGTAGGGGATGGGGGAAAGCACGGGACGGGATGGGGGGAAGCAGGGGAGGGGATGGGGGGAAGCAGGGCAGGGGATGGGGGGAAGCAGGGAAGGGGATGGGGGGGAAGCAGGGAGGGGGATGGGGGGAAGCAGGGAAGGGGATGGAGGGAAGCAGGGAAGGGGATGGGGGAAAGAAGGGGAGGGGACGAGGGGAAGCAGGAAGGAGGGAGGGGGGAAGCAGGGAGGAGGAAGGGGGGAGTGGCAGGTGAGGCAAAGGAGAATAGACTGTGGGGTAAACAGAGCTGTTGGGAGAAAGGGAGGTTGGTCAAAATAAAGAGGGGTGTAAACAAGCCTGGGGAAGTGAGGTCGACGAGGAGAGGGAGTGGGGGAAGTACCCGCTCTCACCCTCTGTCCTTCCCCCTCTGTGCCCCTCCCCCTCTTATCCTCCCCCTCCGTCCTTCCCCTTTTGTCTCCCCCCCTCTGCCCTTCACCATCTGTCACTCCACCTGTGTCCTTCCCCCTCTGTCTCTCCCCCTTTGCCCTTCCCCCTCTGTCTCTCCCCCCCTGTCCCCCCCCCTGTACCTCCCCCCTCTGTCTCTCCCCATCTGTCCTCCCCCCTCTCCCCCTTGTACTTCCCCTTCTGTCCTTCCCCTTCTTTCCTCCCCTCTGTCCCTCCCCCTCTATCCCTCCCCCTCGTTCCCTCCCCTCTGTCCCTCCCCCTCTGTCCCTGCCCCTCTGTCCCTCCCCCACTATCCCTCCCCTCTCGTCCCTGCACTTTCATCCCTACCCCTCCTTCACTCCCCCTCTTTCCCTTCCCCTCTGTCCCTCCCACTTTGTCTCTCGCCCTCTGACAAGTGGGGGGGATGCTGGTGGTGTGCGGGGGGGAAAGGAGGCGGACAAGTGGGGGGAATGCACGTGGTGTGAGGGGGGGAAAAGGAGGCGGACAAGTGGGGGGAATGCGCGTGGTGTGAGGGGGGGAAAGGAGGCGGACAAGTGGGGGAAAATGCGCGTAGTGTGTGGGGGGGAAAGGAGGCGGACAAGTGGGGAGAATGCGCGTGGTGTGTGGGGGCCTTCGCTAACGACGGGGAGTGGCGACTTGGGTAGACATGGGCGATAAGGGGAGATGCGTGTGGATGGGGGAAACTGAGGCGAGGGCGTTGAGGAGCAACGCAAGAGACGAGGGTAAGTGCGGGAGACTCGAGTAAGCGTTTCACACGCGGGAAAGAGTGCGAGACGCGGGCAGTGATGATGCGGGTAAGCGCGGGTGACCTCGGGTAAGCGCGGGAAACGCGGATAAGCGCGGGTAAGTGGGGATGACACGGGTAAGCGCGGGTGACGAAGGTAAGCGCGGGTGTCGCTGGAGAGCGCGGGAAACGTGGCTAAGCGTGGGAAGCGCGGGTGAGCGTGGGAGACAAGGACAAGCTGGCGTGACGAGGGAAACGCTTGCGACGAGGGAAACATTGCGCGACGAGGGACGCGCGGGCGACGAGGGCATGCGCGAGTGCAGAAGCTCTCGTAACGTGGGGTTGAGGGAATCGCTAGGGAAGCACGGGCGATGAGGTGATGCACTCGCCACATACTAAGTGTGGGAGTCTGGACGAGGCGAGGATGACGCCTGAAGGCGGACTGAAGCCAAGTTTTTGTTGGGCGGGCCATGCTATGCTGGCCAATGCATTACGGGCGTTGTATTGGAGGTAACCAGCAGCCTTAGCCGACCCATGACTGTGGTGCACTAGAACGGGTGTCCCGTCGCTGGCATGCAAAAATGGTACGGTAATAGCGTGTTTGGCAAGAAGCGGGTGCTCCTCAGCTATTGGCAAGACAGCGGGAGTGACGAGAGCTGGAAGGAAAAAAACGCTTCTACCTAAACTAGCTTTTATCGCCCTGTCGCGCGTTTCTTAGTTACGTGCCTACTCTAGTGGATTAGGAGTACCACTTGGTCGTCAAGTTATGTGAGAGGTGACCACATCAACATGGTAGGCGATGTTCGGATGTGTTGTGCGACTGGGCACAGATACCAATCAGAAGTGACCGTCGCACTAAGTTTTCCCTGGGTCGCGAGAGTTCTTTCAAACAAAAGAGGGTAACCCTGTTTTTTACGACTTCAAGTTCAAGAATCTTGAGCTTGAAAAATACCATGCTGTACTCGGGCTTTAAACAAACCAAGTTCCTCGGTGGAAAGCAAGGTCGAAAATACCCCTGTTTACGAACGTCCATGTAAACACAATCGAACTTGTTACAAACGAGAACAGTACCCAGGCCTGGTTGATACCTCAGCCCCTCAAAAGGCGGCCTGACATCAATTGTCAGTCACAGTTGAAGCGCAGTTGGCGCTGTCAGAGTCACTTTGTTCTGTCGCCTGTCAGTGAGCTCTAGGCTTGAGGCCTAAACACGCTACTCAGTCGTTGCCTTTTAGCTAGCTCCGAAAGCCTAGTGCAGGAATAGGTCGTTCGCGTAGCAGAGAGCTTTTATTAGCTTTAAGTTGTGTTCTGTAAAAGCGGACAGCACGGTATTACTGCACGAGGCAAACCCGAATTCGAGCAGTTACTTCGCAGTTTTGAATCGTCCGTTTCCGGGAAAGGTGACTTAGTATATCAGGCGACTGTAATCCTGCCGGCGAGTTAAGAATCAGGTATCTTGATCGAGCTGGCGTGCGAGATGTTTAGACGAGTCTCGAGCATAAGAACCTTTAATTAACCAGCAAGAGCTAACCTTGACTGGTAGCTTGAGACGTTAACGTAACCCTACCGGAGACTGACTGCGGTTGTAACATCCGCGTTGAAGGCGGTGGTGAAGGTCGTAACAGAGATGAGAGTTGTGTTTCGTGTGTCACACTCAGAGCACGCTGCACACCTAGTGGCTAGTTAGGTGTGACCAGAGACCGAAGGATTTTTTTAGTCGGGCTGAGAAGTTACAGACACGACAGGCGAATAGTGGACTGGCGATTGTGGTGGTCGTGGGTAACTGGCCACTAAACGGTTCAATGAGCGTGTAAATAGACTATAGGAGTTGACCCGACGGTGTGACAGCCACAGATTAGAAGACAAAGCGCTTCAGGCGTTACGGGAAAGCGAAGGTTACACTGTTACAGCAGATGGTGAAGGCTACACCGTAACAGCAGATGGTTCGAGGAGTATCGCAAGAGGAAATGGTGACGGTGAAAGCGAAGCCTGAGGAGGAGGGTTTCTGAGGCGACTCAACTCAAGGATACAACGTGACAGGATATGGCAGGAGGAAAACCAGGAAAGGGAATGATGACAGTGAAAGCGGAGCCTGAGGAGGAAGGGGTGAGTTTTGAGTCGACTCAAATTACTCGTGGAACGGTGGCAGTGAGTCAAGATACACGTGGAACGATGGCAGTGGCTCAAAATACACGTGGAATGGAGACAGTGAAAGCGGAGCCTGAAGAGGAAGGGGAGCGGATGGATAGGTGGAGGGGGGAGGGAGGGGAGGAGTCATCGAGTGAAGACGTGATAGTTGTAGAGGAATATGTTGAAGTGGAGGAGGGAGAGGAGGGGGAGGAGAGGGAGGAGGGGGACGAAGTGGAGGAGGGGGAGGTGGGAGAGGAGGAAATAGAGGAGGGAGAGGAAGTGGAAGAGGGGGAGGTGGGAGAGGAGGAGGAAGAGGAGGAGGACGAGGAAAAAAGGAGGGAGGTGGAGGAGGACGATGGGGTTCCTGTGGGGGTGAAAAGAGATCCGGATGGATTTGAAGCGGTTGCTGTTCAACACGAGGAGGGAAAGAAAAGCAGAATTGGGAAGGAAGATGTGGAAGCTGGGGGTTCTCCTGAAGTGAGGGTGAAAAAAGACCCAGGTCTACGTGAAACAGAAAAGGAGGAGGCTGATCAATGTCATGAGGAGGAAAAGAGAAGGGGGCTTGGGAGGACGAATGGGAAGTTGGATGGAAAAGCGGATGTGGGCGCTGGTGGAGGGAAGGGCAAGGCTGTTGCTGTCACACCAACTGCTGCAAGGCAGGAGGCAAAGCTGAATCCCCGCACAGGGATGGGTGTTGGAGAAATGGAATGGAGAAAAGCGGGTGACAGTACAGGGCTGGGTGTGCTCGGGGTTTCAGGCTCGGATCTCCGCCTCGGCAGCAGCATGCAGAGCGGGAAGAGTGTAGAGAGTGCCCCGGCCAGGGCCAGCCCTGCCAGGGAGCAGCGTTTGAAGGTGGGACGAACGGGGCTGGAAGCACTGGGGAGTGCGGGCGGTGATGGCAGGGGCAGCAGCACGCAGAGGGGGAAGAGTGTGGAGAGTGCGCCTGCCAGGGCCAGCCCTGCCAGGGAGCAGCGTTTGAAGGTGGGACGAACGGGGCTGGAAGCACTGGGGAGTGCGGGCGGTGATGGCAGGGGCAGCAGCACGCAGAGGGGGAAGAGTGTGGAGAGTGCGCCTGCCAGGGCCAGCCCTGGCAGGGAGCCGCATTTGGTGGTGGCACGAATGGGGCTGGGAGCAGTGGGGAGTGCAGGCGGTGATGGCAGTGGCAGCAGCACGCAGAGAGGGAAGAGCGTAGAGAGTGGGCCTGCCAGGGCCTGCCCTGTTAGCGCTGATGGCAGTGGCAGAAGCACACAGAGAGGGAAGGGTGTGCAGGGTGTGCGAATCAGTCCTACCAGTCCTGGCAAAGGGGGCGTTGCGGTGGGAGGAACGGGGCTGGAAACACTGCGTGGTGCAGGCGCAGATTGCAGCGGCAGCAGCACGCAAAAAGCGAAGAGCATAGAGAGTGCTCCCACCAGGGCCATCCCTGCTGTGGAGCAGCGTTTGGAGGATGGCCTGGGAGGACGGACGGGCCTGGGGGCACAGAGTGGGCCAGCCAGGGCCTGCCCTGCCAGCGCTGATGGCAGTGGCAGAAGCACGCAGAGAGGGAAGGGTGTAGAGAGTGTGCCGGTTAGGGCCAGCTCTCCCACCAGGGCCATCCCTGCTCTGGAGCAGCGTTTGGAGGCTGGACGAACGGGGCTGGGGGCACTGGGGATTGCAGGTGCGGTGGCGGTTCAAAAGACATCTGGGGGTGTTGCTTCCTTGGGTGCAGCTGGAGAAGGGAGGGCTGTTCGTGTGTCAGGTTTGAGAGTTCTCGGAAGTGACACAGGTGCGATTGGGGTTGAAAAGTCATCTTGGGGTGTGGGTTCGATGGATGCAGCTGGAGAAGGGAGGGCTGTTCGTGTGTCAGGTTTGAGAGTTCTCAACAGTGGCGCAGGTGCCGTGGTGACTCAAAAGGCATCTGGGGGTGAAGCTTCAATGGGTCCAAGAGGGGAAGGGAGGGCTGTGCGTGTGAAGGAGGAGGCAGTGGAGCTAGGGGAGGAGGGAGGGAGGAGTGATGTTGCGCATGTGGTAACCACGTCAAATGGTAGTGGTGGTGGTGCTGTTATGCAGGTCGTAACCAGAGCAGGTGATCCTGGCGCGAGCACATTGGGTGGTGCTGCTGCTGGTGTTGTTGTATCAGCTGCAACCAAGTCAGTTCATGAGGCGCCTAAAAAGTCAGGTGATCCTGGCGCTAGCACATTGGGAGCTGCTGCTGGTGTTGTTGTATTAGCTGCAACCAAGTCAAATTTGGCTCAGATGCGCTTAAGACGTTGTAGTGGGGAGGCGAATAAGGTGAATGCGTGTGCTGCGGGTGCAAGTGTTGTCGGTGCAAGTGTTGTCGGTGCAAGTGTTGTCGGTGCAAGTGTTAGGATTGCTACCGGTGCAAGTGTCACTGCTCTGTGTGTGCTTGGGGGAGTGGGAAGAGTGGAAGGAGGAGGGCCAAAACGCATGGTGCGAGGAAGTGGGGGTGGGAGCGTTAAAGAAGAACCACTGGAGTTGGGTGATGGGGGAGTGGGAGTGTTAGGAGGAGCAGAGGCGAATCGGATGAGGGATACGGATAGAGCGGAGCAAAGGGAGAAGGAAAATGAGGAGGGAGGGGGAGTGGTGCGAGGAAGTGGGGATGGTGGAAAGGTTAAAGAGGAGCCAGTGGAGGTGGGTGGTGGGGGTGGGGGAGAGGGAGGGATAGGAATTGAGGGGAGTTGGATGAAGGGTAAGAGCCGAGAGGAGGAGGGGGGGGTGGAAGGGGAGGAGGAAGAGCAGGAAATGGGAGAGGAAGGGGAGGAGGAATTGGAGGAGGGGGTAGAGATTGAAGAGGGGATGGAGATCGGAGAGGAGGCGGAGGATGAAGAGGAGGAGGAGGGTGAAGTGGGGGAAGATGAAGGAGAGGAGGAAGAGGAGGAAGAGGAGGAAGGGGAGGTGAGAGAAAGCGAGATGGAGACGGATGAAGAGAGCAATGAAGGTGCAGGAGGTAGGAATAGGGAGGAAGGGCAAGGGGGAGAGGAGGTGGAGAGGGGAGTGGTAAGGGAGGAGAGGGAAGAGGAGAGAGAAGCAGAGGGAGAAATGGAGGGAGAAGATTGGCGGAGACAGGATCAGGAGGGAAAGGGGGGGGAAGGGGGAGAGGAAGGAGAGGAGGGGGAGGAGGGGGAGGAGGGAGGGATGGGGGAGGAGATGGAAGAAGCAAAAGAAAGGCGGGGGGGAAGGGAGGCGCAGACGAATTATTGGCAGGTGAAAGAAGAAGCATTGGAGGTGGATGGGGGAGTGGGGGAAAGGAGAGGCTATGGCGGAGAGTGGGAGATGGGGAAAGCCGGTGGGGAGGAGGGGGAAGAGGGTGAGGAGGGCAAGGGGAAGGAGGAGGAAGGGGAGGGCAAGGGGGAGGGAAAAAAACTGACAAGGCACAGGCAGGTGCAAGAGAAAGAAGCAGCGGAAGTGAAGGGAGTTTTTGAGAATTCTCAAAAACACCCTGCAGCATCAGTGACAAGGCACAGGCAGGTGCAAGAGAAAGAAGCAGTGGAAGTGAAGGGAGGAGTGAAAGAGAGAGGAGGCTGTGGAGGAGCATGTGAGATGGAGACAGGTGGTGGGATGCAGGGCGAGGAGGGGGAAAAAGGGGAGGAGGGTATGGGGGAGGAGGGAGGGAAGGACAAAGGGGAGGATGAGGGGCAGATAAAACACTGGCAGGACGAAGAGAAAGAAGCAATGGAAGTGAAGGGGAGAGTGGATGAGAGAGGGGGTTATAGAGGAGAGTGTGAGGTGGAGAAAGACTGTGGGGAGGAAGGGGACGGGGGGGAGGACAGGGAGGACGGGGGGGAGGACAATGAGGGCGAAGAGTACAAGGAGGGGGAGGAGGAGGAGAGAAAAGAGGTGGAGGAGAGAAAAGAGGTGGAGGAGAGAAAAGAGGTGGAGGAGAGAAGAGAGGTGGAGGAGAAGAAGGGCGAGGTTTGCGATGATGTTAAGGAGGGTAAGGGGGAAGGAGAGCTGGAAAAAGGGGAGGCGCCAGTTCGAGGGGAGATGAATGGGGGGGGCAAGAGTGCTTGCAGGGAGGGTGATGAGCAGCGAGGAATGGCAGGGCAGGAAGTAACGGGAAGGCAAGGAGGTTCAGGAGGGAAGGGAGGTTCAACAACGCACGGAGGAACAGGAGGGCAGCAGGACGGTGAAGCGGAGAAAGCAGCGGCAGCTGAGCAAGCAGGGGGAGGAGGAGGAGAAGGAGGAGGAGGAGAAGGATGGCAAGAAGGAGGGAAGGGATTAGAGAAGGGAGGAGGGGAGGGAGAAGCAGCGGATCATGACACCTGCAAGACAGCTCCTGAAGCTGCAGCGGTAGCCTCCCACACGACTTTTGAAGCGCCACAACATCCAGTTTTCCACACAACACCTGTCAAGGCTCAAGAAACAGTCGCTCCTCCAAAGGCTCCTAGGCTTTCCAAGGAGCTAAACCGGCTCCTGCATGATGCGTGCAAGACAGCAGAGCAGGCAGCAACTGCTATCTCTTCTCGGCAAGCACAGGCTGCTCTGGGGGCCGCATGGCAAGCGCAGAGTGCTGTAGCGTCGCCATCGTCACAAGAAAATGCTGGGGATGCTCGAAAAAGGCACTTACAGACTGCTGTGGAGTTGTTGTCACAGGGAGCAGTGGCAGGGAGGGAGGAGGAGAGAGGAGGAGGAGTGGTGGAGGGGAAGGGAGTGGCGGGTGAGGAGGGTGAAGGAAGGGGGGAGGAGGAGGAGGTGGGGGGAGGAGATATGCAGTGTGAGGATTACTGCTTTGTGTGCTACGATGGCGGTGACCTGGTGGCATGTGATAAGAGGTGAGTGGGTGGGATGATAAGAGGGATGAGGGGCGGGGCGAGGGGGAGTGCTAGTAATCCATCATACCCTGTTGTTGGCGGTGTACAGACCTCCCTACTTCTCTGAAAATTTTCTTTTTTTTCACTTTGATATTTCAGAGGCTGCCCCAAGGCGTACCATCCAGAGTGCACCGGGCTGCCCGAAAAGGTTTTCGAGTCTTCTGCCCCTTGGACTTGTGGTGAGTGGTGTAACGGAGGCTGCATAATCAGTGTGGCAGGCACATGCCATTCAGTAGTCAGTGTGCCACACCTCCTCCCATGCCTGCCACCCCCCTCCCCCCCCCCCCCCCCCCCCGTCTTTTTGAGTCGACACAAAAATAGACACATACCTTCAGTCAATGTACCACTTACCCTCAGTCAGTATTTGAGTCAGTATTATTGGTATGACTTTTGAGAATTCTCAAAAATCTCAAAAGAGAATTCTCAAAAGTCATACCAACATAGACACATACCTTCAATCAATGTACCACTTACCCTCAGTCAGTATTTGAGTCAGTATTATTGGTATGACTTTTGAGAATTCTCAAAAATCTCAAAAGAGAATTCTCAAAAGTCATACCAATATAGACACATACATTCAATCAATGTACCACTTACCCTCAGTCAGTATTTGTGTCAGTATTATTGGTATGACTTTTGAGAATTCTCAAAAATCTCAAAAGAGAATTCTCAACAGTCATACCAATATAGACACATACCTTCAATCAATGTACCACCTACCCTCAGTCAGTATTTGAGTCAGTATTATTGGTATGACTTTTGAGAATTCTAAAAAATCTCAAAAGAGAGTTCTCAAAAGTCATACCTGTTGGGTGCAAATATTTATTTTTGCACGTCAACCAGCCGCCTGCGTCGCATTTTGCACATTTGTGTGTGTGTGCATTTTTCATTTTCATTTTGTGAACGTTCTGTGCACATTTGTTCTAGCGTTTTGTGTGTCTCGTTTTCATTCATAAGTGCATTTTGTGTTTTTGCATTTTCAGTTTCGTTTTCACTGTTCTCATGAAGCTCCCATGAAGCGCTCAAATGAGGCCCTCATGACGCGCTCAAATGAGACTCGTGCGAAGCTCTCAAATGAGACTCATGCGAAGCTCTCAAATGAGGCTCAAATGAAGACCTTATGGAGCTCAAACGAAGCTCGCATGGGACTTAAATGTTTCACGCGAGGCTCGTGCGAGCGACCATGAAAGTCCCATGAGTCTCGAATTTTCATGCGAGACTTATTGGAGCCTCATGTGAGCGGGTGGTGTACCGAGGGGTGCTCAGTTCTTTGACTGGTCAAGAGGTGCCTTGACTTTTCTCGCGCTGGTCAAAAGCGTGAAAGTCAAGACCCGATCGTGGGTCAATGTACGCGCGTGTGGGACCACAGGGCACGTGCGTGTGCCGTGTACCGTTGCGAGCGTGCTATACAGCACGATCGCAACAAGACAGGGCCCATTTCGGCCCTGTCCCGTACTGTGCACGCGCGTGATTTCGATCATGGCGCGCTGTACAGCACGACCGAGAAAAAATCTCGGTCGTGCGCGTGGCACGAGGGGTGCTCGGAATTTACAGTTGAAAAACTGTTTTCCGAGTTGACTCACGGGACGGGAAATTTCTCGTGAAAGTCATTTCGCTTTGGGGAATCATTTCGACACAGATGCAAATCGGTTACTCCGTTTTTCAAGCGGTAAAAACCGTTATACAACTGTGAGCTCGCATGAAGACATTTGAGCTACATTGGAGCAACATGCGAGTCTCATGAGTGTACACATTTGAGTCAGCAGGGGCGATTGTTACAAGTGCAATTTGAAGACAGTTTTTAACAACAGGAGGATATAGCCAAATGTTCAAGGAGTTGTGCAACTGTTTTCAAGATACAGCGTGGCGAAATCCTGCGAGCCAGTTAAACAACTGTTTTCTAGTTGCTCCTGCCTGTGCGTAGAATCCATATAAATGTGTGCTTGTACCTGTCGAAATCAATCCAATGCATTCACGTTTTTCAAGATCGCATTCTACTACTTCGTATTGACGAGAGTAGAAATATTACCTTGGTGCTGCCGAAATTCTTCTCGACCAGTTTGCTCGTCCTACAAGCTGAGCAAGGCATAACTACTCACTTGCTATTTTCTACGCCCTTGGCTAGGAGGTGACAAGCTGTCACACTCGAAGGGCTGCAAGTGATGTTAAGTGTTGCCAAGTGTTGCCAAGCAAAGTTTGTAGTTCAAGCTCCAATCGCTTCCGCATAACGTTATAGCTGTAAACAATACCAACATAGACACATACCTTCAATCAATGTACCACTTACCCTCAGTCAGTATTTGTGTCAGTATTATTGGTATGACTTTTGAGAATTCTCAAAAATCTCAAAAGAGAATTCTCAAAAGTCATACCAATATAGACACATACCTTCAATCAATGTACCACTTACCCTCAGTCAGTATTTGTGTCAGTCAGTGTGCCACACCTCCTCCCGTGCCTGCCGTCACTCCTCCCTCTTCCTTGGTATATTTTGCTCACCTTTTGTCTTTCTTTCACTCACTGTGCGCTCCCTTCCCACTTTACCCTTCCCACCCTGTCTCCCCGCACACAGTGTGGCACTCCTGCTCCCGTGCCTGTCGTCGCTCCTCCCTCTTCCTCTGCCTCCTCTGCCCCACCTCCCTCTGCTGGCGTTGCCTCCGCTTCCTGCACCGCCATGTCTGGATGGACCCTGCTTCTTCTGCCCGAGTGAAAAGTATCTGGACCTTGAAACTTTCCCGGGCAGCTCAATTCGCTGCCCGACTCGCGTGGGGCAGGGTTTCGGGCGCGGAGGGAGGGAAGGGCAGGAGAAGAAGCTGGGAGGGGAGTGGGATTGCTGGTGCGGAAAGGCTTGATGGGAAGGAGGAGGCGAGGGGGAACGAGGTGGAGGGTGGGAGTGGGGTTGGATTGATTGTAGAGGTGCCTAAACAAATGCAGGATGGGAATGATGAGGAAGCGAGGGAAAAGGGGATGGGGGGGGGAGAGTGGGGATGGTAAAGGGAGGGAAGGAGCGAGGGAGGATGGGGAGGGTGGAAGGGAGAGGGGGCGTAAGCGGGGGAGAGAGAGTGGAACAGAAGAGGAGAATGGAACAGAAGAGGAAGGTGTGGAGGAGGAACCAGAGGGGGAAAGGGGGCAAGAGAGTGCAAAGGAGAGGGGAGGTGAGGATGCCGACGAGGAGAATGTGGGGAGGAATGCGGATGAGAAGGGGTTGTCAGAGGGGGGGAGTATCTGGTGGGGCAGGGAAGGCGAGGAGAGGAGGGAAGGGAGTGTGGGGTGGAGGCTGGAACAGCTGGAGGAAGGAGGCCGGAAGGTTCTGGGGCTGTGCGGCGCATGCTATGTGAAGGTGGCGATGATTCAGCACGGCATCGAGAGGACTCCCACTGGCGTGAGTAGTGCTGTCTTGTCAACCCCACCCTGTGTCAGTTCCTATCCTACCCAGGTGAGGTGAGCTGTGCGGCACATGCTATGTGAAGGTGGCGATGATTCAGCACAGCATCAAGAGGACCCCGACTGGCGTGAGTACTCTTTCTTTCTTGAATGCTGTTTTGAGATGCTTTGATGCTGAGGCGAGGTGTCAAGCGCTCCGCTCCTATCCCACCGGAAGGTGTCGCATGCTATGTGAAGGTGGTGGTGATAACTCAGCACGGCTCAAAACTATGCCACTTTTCCTCCTTCTGTGTCTGTGTGCGCCTGTGCCTCTTGCAGCGTGTCCTAGACATGGACAACACCTATTCCCCTGCGTGGTATTTCAAAGACTATCACTCGGTGATGCGCGATCGGGAGCGGTTGATGATCGACGTGGGGAAGGCTCCTGATGACTGGGGCTCTCTCAGAGAGAGATGGCTGTGTGGGATAGAGCTGGGTATGTTGGGAGATGAGGAGGAGGAGGTGGAGGGGGAGGGGGAGGGGAAGGGGGAGGGGGAGGGGGATGGGGATGGGGATGGGGAGGGAGAGGGAGAGGGAATGATGGGAGAAGGAGCAGAAGCAGAGGAGGAGGAAGAAGAGGGAGACGAGGAGGAGGAGGAAGGGAGTGAGGAGGTAGCAGAGGAGGAATATGAGGAAGGAGGGGGAGAACGAAGAGGAGAAGGAGGAAGAAGAGAAGAGGAGGGCGAGGGCCAAGGGAGGAGGACAGTTGAATACTGGAAGTTGAGCGACAGTGAGAGTGGAGGTGGAGATGAAAATGCGACACTGGGAGTTGATTCCTTACCTAGGAGCAAGCATAGAGCAGCCACAGCAGCAGCGGCAGCACAGGAGGAGGGAAAAGATGGAGAGGGATGGGCAAAGGGTAACTACTTCGCTCTGAGTGACAGTGGGGATGAGGGAGAGGATGTGCCTCTATCCAAAAGATTCAATATCAAATTGCAGCAAGGAAGAAGGGCGGCTGCGGTTAGGTATAGAAGCAGCAGGCTGAGGCAGGGTGGGAGTGTAAAGAAGATGCTGCCGCGTGGAGCGAAGGGGAGGCTTGTGAGTTCGTTGGGGTGTGATGGGGAAGGAGGGAGTCTGGAGAAGAATGGTAGGGGAGGTAGGAGGTGCGGTGCTGGGAGAGGGTTGACGAGAGGCTTGGGGAGAGGCTTGGGGAGAGGCTTGGTGAGAGGCTTGGGAAGAGGCTTGGGGAGAGGCTTGGAAGAGGCTCAGGGAGAGGAGGAGGAGTGGGAGGAGGAGCGGAACGAGGTAACGGCAGGGGTGGAGGAGGGTGGGGAGGGGTTGGCAGGGATGATATTAGTGATCCTGACTTTGTTCCTTGTGCATCTATTGGGAGGGAGAAGGGAAGTATGAGGGGGAGAGGGGTGAGCAGAGGGAGAGGGTGGGGGAGAGGCGTGGGAAGAGGAGAGTGGGGAGGAAGAGGGAGAGGGGCAGGGAGAGGAAGGGGGAGGGGAAGGGGGAGCAGAGGGGGGTTTGGAGGGGGAAGAGGAGGAGGGGAAGGGGGCAGAGGGAGTGGGGGCAGAAGAGAAGGGAGGGGAGGAGGAAGAGGAGGAGGTGGTGGTGGTCGTGGGTGGGGTGATAGAGAGGAGGAAGAGGAGGAGGATGACTTTTGTGAGGAGGAAGAGGAAGAGGAGGAAGAGGAGGAGGAAGAAGAGGAGGGGGTGGAGGAGGAGGAAGAGCATGGGTTTAGACGACACAGGAGTGCCGGTTCTGTGGACCATGATGTTGATGATACTCACGGGCATGCACACAGGCATGGGCATGTGCGGGGACAAGGGCTCAGCCAAAGGCTTTTGCATAGGCTTGGAAACAGGCTCGGGCATGGTCATGGTCATGGGCATGGGCATGGGCATGGACACAGGCACGAGCATGGGCATGGGCACGGGCACCGGCATGGGCATGGTGATGCACATGCACATGCGCATGCACATACCCACGATGATAATGATGGTGGGGATGACGGGGCAGCAGTGGAAGGAGCACCATACGCAGCCATGAACGATCGCAATCTGACCCAGATTTTCCTTAGGCGCAGGCACATGGAGGTTGCTGAGAGGCTCGGGTTAGAAAAGGCTTCTGAGCCGGGAGGCAGCTTGGAGAGGAGTGCAGAGGCGTTGAGAGGGATGCTGGTGGGCGGACTGGCCCGGTTGCGGTGTTCGGATGTGTTTGAAATGGTGAACGCATCGGGGTACAAGCTTGTCCTCGTTACAAGTAAGTTTGTGCTTGTTACAGGTAAGCCCGTCCTTTTTACAACTATAATGGTCTTCGTCATTGTTGTGATTGTCCTCGTCTCAACTTTTTTGTCTTCGTTTTAACTGTGGTTGTCCGCGTTACAGCCATAAGTTCCCTCATAACAATTACTTTCCAACTGTGCCTCTCCAAGCCCTCTTTCAACTATGGCTGAATGCGCAATGCTCTTCACTTATCCATGCTCTGCACTTGTCCAACCCTGGGCTTTTCCTTGCCCTTTGCCCAGATGTTGAGTATTTCACATCAGCAGCCTTTGGCCCACCGGGATTCAGCATGCATCAGCAACACCAGCTTCAGCAGAACCAGCGACAACACGTGATGATGGTGACGGTATTGGATGGCCGAAAGAACCGTCTGGATAGGTGCCCCGTGACCGAGTTTTCAGACGGGGCGTTTTGCGCTCCTGAGGTGGCGGAGGTCAAAGAGCTGGTGCGAAGAGGGTCACTGCCTCCCTTCTTCATGGTGAGTCGATATCAGGACACGATGCTTGCATTGTTGATTGCTCGTTGTATAAAACCCTAAACCCCCTATGTATGACTATTCCAAGTTCTCACTGGGCAAGTTTGTCATTTCGAAGCCGCTTGAAGGCCACCAAGGTCTGACAACGTGGGGTGGAGTCAATTGAGCCGAAATTGGACATGTCAGCTGAACATGACGGTTACCATGCCGTCGGACAACGCCGGTGCGTGTCGTTCACAGTTTCACTCCATGCAGCTGTTGACATTCATGGTCATCTCGAGGTGCTGCTTGTCAGTCGTACAAGTGACATTGAAGCCTTGTCGCCTACGTGAAGACGTCGGTTTCAGGCGCGACAATTCATCATGATGACGTACAAAGCAACCGACGACCTGTACATCAACCAACTTGAGCAGCGGCTAAGCAACGTCGACATGTGCAAGCACGATACTGTGATGCCGTAATGCAGCCGTGCGCAGAGCATTATAGCCGACTTGCTTGCTGAAGTCGACTACTCGACGTCATCGTACATTGCCCGTGTCCTTCGAGGGACTCCGCAAGCGCTACAATCTGCTGCTCTAGATGGTGCAGCTATCGGGTGTTCGCGAGGACCGCGGCGAGGACACGCTGTCGAAATACATCATTGAAGAGGAGTTTACACTCGAGTACGAGTGCCGTAACGAGTCTGCTTTTGGGTCGACTCAAAAGCAAATGGTGAAGCTACCAAGTGTGTGCGAGGTCTTGATGAGGACACGCTGTCGAAATACATCATTGAAGAGGAGTTTACGCTCGAGTACGAGTGGCGTAAAGAGAAGCTCCTTTCTCAAGTCAACTTCGTCGCACCGACGCAGCAGGGACGTCAGTAGGGGAGGTGTGGGACGTCGCAATGAGTAAACCTTTAAACCATTCGCAACTCTTGTAAACTCGCAAGTCTGGGCGGCGTAAGGAGCAGCTCCTCCCTCAAGTCAACTACGTTGCACCGACGCAACAGGGACGTCAGTAGGGGAGGCGTGGGATGTCGCAGAGAGTAAACCCTACCATTCGCATCCCTTGAAAACCAACACTCCCTTTCATCTGTTCCCCCCTCTCATCCCTTCTTTCCCAATCATCTTAGGATAAGTTGGAGGGGCAGGTACGGCAGCTGAGGCATGAACCCTTCTTCCATCCCCTCACCATGAACTCTAAGCCATGGCTCCCCATTTCTCCCCATCCACCTTCCCGCCCCCCCCCCCCCCCCCCCGGATTGTCTCAGGACAAGTTGGAGGAGCAGGTGCGCCAGATAAGGCATATTTTCTTTGAAACGGTGAGTGTACTAACGTATATACAACATAGCTATATAACACACATACCTCATATATGTACACAACATATTTGTATAACATAGTCTCTGTATGGAGTTTTGATTTGAGACAACTCGACAACGGTGAGTGAGTGTACTATGTGCTTTGAGTCGAAATGCACTTAAGATGTGCATGTACTTGAATCAACATGCACTACTGTCTTACATGCACTTCTGAAATTCATTTTCAAGTGCACTTTTATCCTTGAGTGCATATTTTTCTTCTAAACCTTGCTTGTTTCCCTTGTCTTCTCTGTGCCCATGCATGTTGCAGGAGTACCATCAAAGTCTGGAGCGAGTGCAGCAGCTCAAGAAGGCCAAAAAATATCTCCTCATTCCCTTCACTTCACTACACTCACATCCCTCAACCTCAACCCCCTACTGCGCTTCACACTCTGTGCCCTCCCTGCCCTCGCTCTGCGCTTTCTGCGCTCTCTGCCCTCTCTGCCCTCATCTCTCGCTTATCCATTTGCTCTTGCTGTTCACCACTACTTCACTTGCTCTTGCCTTCGCCTTATCTGCACCCTCCTCCCTGCACTCATTTCTCTCCCATTCACTATTTGTTCTCTTCTCTCTTGCATTTCTCGCATCCTCTTAGCTCTCCCTCTCCACTCCTCAAATACTCATGAACCCAAGCAACCCTTTTGGGTGCCGTCTCGTCTCGTACTTCTTCCCTTCGTTTATTCACTGAGTTTTTTTCTCTCGTTTTTTTTTTTTTTTTCTCAATCCTCTGCCAGCCTTCTCGTCCTTCTTCCCTTCGTATCACCGCACCCTCCCATTTCCTGTCTTCCATTGCTATGCCGCTCTGCTTCTTGTGACCCTCTTCTCTTGGGTCGACTCAAAAGTCAGTTCTCCTTGACCATCTCTCTGCACCACACCCTACCCCCTCTACGCATCTATGTTCTCTCTTTCCGTTCTCTCGATTCTCCCGTTTCTTCTCTGTTTTCTTTCCTTCTCCTTTCTCTCTTCTTTTATCTCTTTCCCCTTTCTCTTCTTTTCTCTCTGCCTTCTTCTCTTCTTTCTCTCTTCCCCTTCCCTATTCTTTTCTATCTTCCCCCTTCCCTATTCTTTTCTATCTTCCCGCTTCCCTATTCTTTTCTATCTTCCCCCTTCCTTATTCGTTTCTATCTTCCCCCTTCCCTATTCTTTTCTATCTTCCCCCTTCCCTATTCTTTTCTATCTTCCCCCTTCCCTATTCTTTTCTATCTTCCCCCTTCCCTATTCTTTTCTATCTTCCCCCTTCCCTATTCTTTTCTATCTTCCCCGTTCCCTATTCTTTTCTATCTTCCCCCTTCCCTATTCTTTTCTATCTTCCCCCTTCCCTATTCTTTTCTATCTTCCCGCTTCCCTATTCTTTTCTATCTTCCCCCTTCCCTATTCTTTTCTATCTTCCCCCTTCCCTATTCTTTCTATCTTCCACCTTCCCTATTCTTTTCTATCTTCCCCCTTCTCTTCTTTTCTCTCTTCCCCCTTCCCTATTCTTTTCTCACTTCTCCCTTCGCTATTCTTTTCTATCTTCCACCCACCACATTCGTGGAGTCCCATCGACTCCTCATGGACATTCGGAGCCCAGAATACCGCCTCACCTTTCTCAACCGCCCTGTACTCCTTGATGCTGAGGCTGACGGCTCCTCTGCCCTAGACACCCGCCCCTCGCACCCCTCTCTTACCCCGACCACCCATCCACCTCCCACCCAACCGCTTCCCACCCAACTGCCTCACACCCAACGTCCTCACACCCCCAGCCGCCTCCCACCCCAACCGCCTCACAACCCAGCCGCCTCACTCACAACCTCCTCCCACCCAACCGCCTCACACCCAACTTCCTCCTTCTTCCGCCCATGCCCCCTCCTCCCAACCCCCCTATTCACAACCCCCTTCCTCCCAACCCCCCTCCGCCCATCCCCCTTCCTACATCCCGCCTGCAAGTCTTCACCCAAATATCTCTCCTCCCCACATCCCCCCTCCCCAAATGCCTCCTCCGCAAATGCCCCCACCCCACATACGCCCTCCCCACCCATGCCCTCCTCTCAACCCACTCCCTCCCAAACTCCACCCCACCACCCATCCCTCTCCCTACCCCTCCCATCCCTCCCCATCCTCCACCCATCCCTCTCCCTACCCCTCCATCCCTCCCCATCCTCCACCCATCCCTCTCCCTACCCCTCCCATCCCTCCCCATCCTCCACCCATCCCTCTTCCTACCCCGCCCATCCTTCCCCATCCTCCGCCCATCCTCACCCCTCCTCCGCCCATCCGTCCCCCACCTCCGCCCATCCATCCCCTTTCCCTCCGAACGCGCATAGTGCCCTGACCGCTCCCAACTTCATACCTCTCTCTAGCTGCCACTCACCTTTTGAGACGTCTCAAAATACTTTCGAGGAATCTAAAACAGTGGTCGCTCCTCCGACTCCATACCTCTCTCCACCTGCGAGTCACCGGAAAACCAACCCCTTCCTCCAGGCGTCGCTCCCTCGGTAGTTCCCTCCCCTCACACGTATTCCCCTCTTCCCCCAGCCGTTTTCCCCCCTGGGGTGGATTTTCCGCCCCCAGGGGGAGCAGCTCCGCCCCCAAAAATAACACCTCCGCCCGCAGGGGGAACAGCTCCGCCCGCAGGGGGAACAGCTCCGCCCGCGCCCACTAGGGGAGCACCTCCGCTCCCAGAGGGTGCACCTTCGCCCCCAGAGGGAGCAGCTTCTACCCCAGGGGTGGCACCTTCGCCCCAGGGGGGGTTCCCCCCCAAGCATGGGGAAAACCTTGCACCTCAGGGGCGAATCACTCTCTTCCACCTCCCCCAGAGGGCGCATTTCCCCCCACAGGGAGAAAACCGCTCCCCCCAGACGGCGCACTTTCCCCCACAGCGCCCATAGGGGGAAAACCCCTCCCGCCAGAGGGCGCACTTTTCCCACAAGGGGGGAAACCTTCCCCTGCAGCTTCAGCGTCCCCTCATTCTCTTCCTCTGCTGGTGGATACGCCTGGTACAGCAAGCGGCATCGCACCTGCTTCTGCCGCTCCTGCTTCTTCTGCTGCTGCTGCTGCTGTTGCTGCTGCTGCTGCTGCTGCTGCTGCTGCTCCTGCTGCTCCTGCTGCTGCCACTGCTGATGTTGCTCCTGCTGCCCCTGTGGTCGTGCCTGCTGCTGCTGCTGGTGTTGCTTCTGCCACTGCCCTTGTTGCTCCTGTTGCTGCTGCTGCTGATGGTGCTGCTTCTCCTGTTGTTGGTGCTGGTGCAAGTGCTACTGTTGCACTTTCGGGTGGTGGTGGTGGTGCTGCTGCTGCTGCTGCTGCTGCTGGCCCTGATGGTGGTTTGAATAGAAGTATTAGCCAAGGACAACAGGAGCAGCAGCCGCAGCACCAACAACAGCAGCAGCAGCAGCAGCAGCAGCAGCAGCAGCAGTCCGGGTATGGAGAGACGTCGGATAGAGGAAGCACTCACGATAGGAAAAGAGGCAGGGTAGGGGCGGAGAGGGATGACGGAGAAGAGTGAGAGGGAAGGAAAGCGATGGAGAGGAGGTGAGAGTTTAGGGAAGGATGAGAGAGGGAGGCATGAGGAGAGAGGGCGAGAAAGGGAAAGGGACAGGGGGAGCGATAGGGTCCGGGGAAGGGATGAGACGAGGTGAGAGAGAGTAGGAGGGAGAGGAGTTGGGAGAGGATTTGGGGAGAAAGGGACAGGTCGAGAGAGATCAGGGGACAGGGATAGGGGTAGAGAGAGATCGAGGGAGCGGGAGAGGGGTATAGAGAGATCGAGGGAGAGGAGAGGGTAGAGAGAGATCGAGGGAGAGGGAGAGGGGTCGAGAAAGATCAAGGGAGAGGGAGAGGGGTCGAGAGAGGTCAGGAGAGAGGGATAGGGGTCGAGAGGGTTTAAAGGAGAGGAATAGGGACAGTGAAGGATTGAGGGGCAGGGAGAGGGATAGAGTGAGAGGTAGCTGGGAGAGGGAAAATGGACGAAGGGAGGTGGAAGGGGGAGGTGAGCGAAGCAGGGAGAGGGGAAGAGAGAGGCATCGAGAAGCGAGCAAGGAGAGGAGGGAATGGGGGGATGGTGGGAGCAGTGAGAGGGGGGAGAGGATGGAAGGTGGGAGCAGCGATAGGAGGGAAGCTATTGCTGGCAGTATCACTCCCACTCCAGTCGTGCCTGCTTGCTGCTGTGGCTGCTTCTGCTGTGGCTGCTATTGCTCCTGCTCCCAACTGCTCCTGCTCTACATGGTGTTTCGCCTGCCCCTACTGCTTCTGCTGCCCCTACTACCATTGCTGCTGCTTCCCCTGCTACGCTTGCTGCATCTGCAGGTGCTGCGGCTTTCACTGCTCTTGCTCCTGCTGCAACTGCTTCCGAGGCTACTCGTTGCCTCTTCCCTCTGCCACTGTCGCTTCTGCTGTCCCTACTCCTCTTGCGCCCCAAACAGTTTCTGCTGTCGCTCCTGCTCCTGCTCCTGCTCCTGCTCCTGGCCCATGCCCCTGCCCCTGCTCCCACCACCACTGTCCCAATCGCTGCGCCCGCCACCGTCACCACTGTTATCGTGCCATTCAAACTGCTACACCAACCATGGTGGTGTTTACACAGACCCCAAAGGGCGCATTCAGGGACCCCACTCACTTACTCAGTTGTACCAGTGGGAAGGCCACGCGGGGTTCAGGGATACGCTTGTGTGGAATGCGAGGGATGCTGCTGTTAGTGGTGGTGCTGTGATTGCAAATCGGTTGGGGTCGCTTTTGGATGAGTGGAGGCCGGTGAAACTAGCAGCAGACCAGCAGCAGTTGGCACGAGAGCAGCAATTGGCAGCAGGGCAGCAGATAGCAGCAGGGCAGCAGTTGGCAGCAGGCAGCAGTTAGCAGCAGGGCAGCAGTTTGCAGCAGGGCAGCAGATAGCAACAGGGCAGCAATTAGCAGCAGGGCAGCAATTGGCAGCAGAAGCCAAATCAGAAAAGGCAGAAGGAGCAGGTGAAACAAGAGTAGCAAGGCCAACAGCAACACCTGGGGGGGAAGTAGTTGCGGCAGATGGGGTAGGAAGAGCAGCAGGAGAAGCTACAGCTGCAGGAGCATTGGTAGGAGGAGCAGCAGGAGCAGCAACTGCAGCAAGGGCAACGGGAACATCGACGGAAATGGTACCGGCTTTGCGAATAGGGCTGAAGATCGTGGCACATGGAGAGGAACGAAGGGTGGTGGCTGCTACTCCTACTACACCAGCAGCAGCAGTAGCACCAGGAGCAACAGGTGTAACAGCAGCAGCCGGAGCAACAGGAGCAGCATTTGTAACAGGTGTAACAGCAGCAGCAGGAGCAACAGGTGTAACAGGTGTAACAGCAGCAG